CCTTGCAGATGGCCAAGCCCACTTGTGTTACTGGGTTTGGGATTGGGCGTTTTCCCTACCTGCTGCTGATCTTCACCTCTTTCATGGAGACATGGACATCAACTGAGAGATGTTTCTCCTTGGGACACTTTTTTCTGAGGAAACTTCACATCTGAACTGACTGAAACATTTACAGCAGCTGGTATTGCTCAAAGTGAGAAAAAAAAAAATCCTAGAAAAAATATTCCAGAAAACTGTGTGCCTTTTCTTTTGAGACATTCTGGAAAACCCTTCTTCTGATTGGTTCAGAGTGACATTTAATTTTAATTCTATTTGGATGCTGATAAACACTGCCTACAGAGCTCAGTCACCAAACGAAGCATTCTTTTTCACCTTGAAAAAGACATTTAATCAAAAGGGATGTTGTGGGTTTCCCCCCAGTCTCCAGCCAGACTCTTGATTTGCAAAAACAGTTTCAGCAGAACCAAAACCAGATTATGGACATGTATAACCGTCTTTGAAACTGCCTCCAACTAGAAAGTCTGCTATTCACCCACCTCTGGTACATGTATAACTTTGACTAGTGATTTTATCACTACAGTCTTGGGGTGCCTCCATAATTTACCAATCAGTTTCCCTGCATGAAAGCACTTTCCCTGTTGGGAGAAAAATGCAAAGTGAAGAGAGGCAAAAAGATATTCAGACACGGGATCTACTCACAAGGCGAGTGCTCAGTATGGTCTGAGGTCCATGTCATCAAAATGGACTTATTACTCCTGTCACAGCCCCCAGGGTACCCGGCAGTGTTTGATACCAGGTCCTGTCATACCAGGCTGAGGAAAGCGACAATGGTGATGGGCTTGTATCACCACTGGCTCTGTATGTCCTTCACAGAATCTTTCAACTCTTCTATAGGTACCTAATAGGTCTTGCCATAAACACGGATGTGTTTTTACCATGTAACCTCAGCCATCAGAGCCTGGCATTTCAGGCACTGCTCCTAGCATCACTCTCACTCCTTCACAGTGCTTCCCTGGAAGATCTATGGGGTATCCTGACAGTGGGTCCAGCTCACACACTGTTTCAAACAACTTGCCTCAGTGAGAGCTTTCTTGCCTCCCAAGCTCTTTTCCTGCCCACCGAGCATGCCTGGGCCTGGAAGAGCAGTTTTTTGGCTTTCCCTACTCCTTCCACCCTGCCTGGCTCCCCCTGGGAGCTGGCTCGGCAGCCACGCTGTGCCTTGGCATGGAGCAGGAGGTAGCAGAGTCACGGCACTGACGCCACTTGGCAGGCGCTCCTAATGACACTGCATCCACATGAAAGCCAAATGCAGCCCTTGGAGAGCCGAGGGCTCCTCTGCAAAGGAGACCTGAGCCCTTTAAGGAAGAGAGAGGAGCAGAAATCAATTGTCTGCTCGTCTTCCTCCCCAGGCCCCCCTCTCCCCCTCCTCCATCACCACCACCACCACACACACACCCTATTCACCCTGCTGGAAGGTGACATTTGCTATTAACCTTATATTGGGCCATTTTGTAAATCAATGTCACTTACATTTAATAACAAGTGTAATCAAAGGAATTATGCAAATTTAATTTGATGCTTCTTGAATTATGCAAATCTGCACCACATATAATGGCTTCTGACATGTGCCCAGTTGGAGAACGTTCCATTACCTCCTCTCTTATTACCCCTATTATTATTTTTATTTTTTTATCCTGTGTTGGGGGGGAGGGAGAAGGGAGGGAGCAGCGGTTAGGCTTGGAGGCAGGGGGGACAAGTGAGTGCAGAACAGGGAAAGAAGAGGGCTGGTGGAGAAAAGCGCCCCTTTGCCTGCATTTTGAGTAGAAAAGCCTCCTGAAGGCATTTCTGTTATTGTTATTGCAGAGCAAGGAGAGCGGGATGGGGGGGGGGGGGAATGGGGATGGGGGGAATCATTTCCCATGAATGGCTTTGCAGGCAATAATACTATAAGCCTCTGATTCTAAATTACTGCCCTTCCAGTCCTATCTCCAGCATGATATTACTCTCCTTGGCCTCTTCTTCCTGAATTACTAGGAGAGCTGGGGGAGGGTGAGGGAAGAGTGGAGTAGGACCCACAGAGTGGAAAATGCAGAATGAATGGGTGATAATGCCTTTGGGGTTTTTTCTCCATGGCTACCCCAGGAACCCAAACATCCTTATTCCTCCCACCAGGGCCCCAGGGGAGTTGCTGTCTTTTCCCCTTGGCTTTCCCTCAATTTACTTGTATCGTAGCATGTGACTCCAATATCAGGGAAAAACAGCCACAGTTATGCCAGTTTGCAGTATCATCTCAGAAACCTGAGGCATCTACAGCCAGTAGCACCCCAAGTTAAACATTTGACACTGTCCCTCATGACATCCTTGTCTCTAAATTGGAGCAACATCAGTTTGATGATCTTCACCTCTTTCATGGAGACATGGACATCAACTGAGAGATATTTGTGAGGCCCACCTCACAAGCGTGTCAAGGTCCCTCTGGATGGCATTCCTTCCCTCCAGCGTACCAACCGAACCACACACCTTGGTGTCATTGGCAAACTTGCTGAGGGCGCACTCAATCCCACTGTCCATGTCAGCGACAAAGATGTTAAACAAGAGCGGTCCCAACACCGATCCCTGAGGGGCACCACTCGTTACTGGTCTCCAGCCAGACATTGAGCCACTGACCACAAGTCTTTGCATGCAGCCATCCAGGCAGTTCTTTATCCACCGAGTGGTCCATCCATCAAATTGATGTCTCTCCAATTTAGAGACAAGGATGTCATGGGGGACAGTGTCAAATGCTTTGCACAAGTCCAGGTAGATGACATCAACTGCTCTACCCCTGTCTGTCAGTTCTGTAGCCCCATCGTAGAAGGCCACCAAACTGGTCAGGCAGGATTTCCCCTTAGTGAAGCCATGCTGGCTGTCACCAAGCACCTTGTTGATTTCATGTGCCTTAGCATGCCTTCCAGGAGAATCTGCTCCAAGATTTTTCCAGGCACAGAGGTGAGACTGACTGGTCTGTAATTCCCCGGGTCATTCATTTTCCTCTTCTTGAAAATGGGGGTTATATTTCCCTTTTTCCAGTCATCAGGAACTTCACCCGACTGCCATGATTTCTCAAATATGATGGCCAGTGGCTTTGCAACTTCATTCACCAGCTCCTTCAGGACCTGCGGATGGATTTCATCAGGACCCATGGACTTGTGCACGTTCAGATTTTTAAGATGGTCTTGAACCAGATCCTCTCCTACAGTGGGCCTGGGGTCTTCATTCTCACAGTCCCTGCATCTGCATTCCAAGCCTTGGATGATGCGGTCAGAGCCTTTGCCAGTGAAGACCGAGGCAGAGAACTCATTCTGAACCTCAGCCTTCTCTAAATCCTGTGTAGCTTCCTCTCCTGAGAGCTTCCTGAGGGGGCCTACATTCTCCCTAGAGTGTTTTTTATTTGCTATGTACGTGTAGAATCCCTTCCTGTTATCCTTAACATCCCTAGCCAAGTTTAATTCTAACTGGGCCTTATCTTTCCTGACCTGGTCCCTAGCTTACCGGACAACATCCCTGTACTCTTCCCAGGCTGCCTGTACTTGCTTCCACTTTTTATAAGCCTCTTTTTTCATTTCCTCAGTAGCTCCTTATCCATCCAAGGAGGTCTCCTGGCCCTCCTGCTGCACTTCCTTCTAGTTGGGATGCAACACTCCTGAGCTTGCAGCAGGTGATCCTTGAATATCAACCAACAATCTTGGGCCTCCCCTCTAGGGCTATATCACATGGAAACTTACTAAGAAGGTTCCTGAAGAGGCCAGAGTCTGCTCTCTTGAAGTCCAGAGCAGTGAGCTTGCTGCACGCTCTTCTCACTGTCCTGAGGATCTTGAACTCGACCATCTTGTGATCGCTGCAACCAAAGCTGCCCTGGAATGTCACATTTCCAATGAGCCCTTCCCTGTTGGTGAGCACGAGGTCAAGGATGGCACCTCTCCTTGTCAGCTCCTCTATTACTTGCAGAAGGAAGTTGTCTTCCACACAACTGAGGAACCTCCGGGATTGCCTGTGCTGGGCTGTACAAGTTATGAAGTTTAACCATGCCAAGTGCAAGGTCCTACACCTGGGTCGCAGCAATCCCAGGCACAGCTACAGGTTGGGCAGAGAAGAGATTCAGAGCAGCCCTGTGGAGAAGGACTTCAGGGTGTTGGTCAGTGAGAAACTTAACATGAGCCAGCAGTGTGAGCTCACAGCCCAGAAAGCCAACTGTATCCTGGGCTGCATCAAAAGGAGCGTGACCAGCAGGTCCAAGGAGGTGATCCTGCCCCTCTGCTCTGCTCTCATGAGACCTCACCTGGAGTATTGTGTGCAGTTCTGGCGTCCTCAACATAAAAAGGACATGGAACTGTTGGAACAAGTGCAGAGGAGGGCCACGAGGATGATCAGGGGACTGGAGCACCTCCTGTATGAAGATAAGCTGAGAAAGTTGGGGCTGTTCAGCCTGGAGAAGAGAAGGCTACGTGGAGACCTCATAGCAGCCTTCCAGTATCTGAAGGGGCCTATAAGGATGCTGGGGAGGGACTCATCATTAGGGACTGCAGTGGCAGGACAAGGGGTAACGGGTTAAAACTTAAACAGGGGAAGTTCAAATTGGATATAAGAAGGAAATTCTTTCCTGTTAGGGTGGTGAGGCACTGGAATGGGTTGCCCAGGGAGGTTGTGAATGCTCCATCCCTGGCAGTGTTCAAGACCAGGTTGGACAGAGCCTTGGGTGACATGGTTTAGTGTGAGATGTCCCTGCCAGTGGCAGGGGGGTTGGAACTTGATGATTTTAAGGTCCTTTCCAACCCTAACTATTCTATGATTCTGAGTTCCACCCTTTGCAAGGACTTCAGTCCTGCAGCACCAGAAGTCAGTTTGTACCAGCCTCTTTATCCATAGTTTTTGATTGTCAAAGATGGCAAGAGAATTTGATGATCACAGAACGCACGTGAAAGACAGTGCACTAATGGTAGTAGAACACACGATGATGAACATTTTCCTGTGCTGGACCACTCACAACAATTTGTGAGTGGCTCTTGCCTTGGTGTCCTCACACTTGTGCAAAGCAGATAAAGAAATTGATCTGTCTTTTGGAAGGAATAGAAGAAAGAGAAGACACAATGCACTTTTAAAAGTCGGCTTGCTCCTCTAATGTGAAGAGATACACATTGTGAGGACACAGTACAACATGGCTCCATCACTTCTATAAAGGAAAGATAATATCTGAAGTCTCCCCACTCTAGATTTGAGAAGTGAAAGGCAGAGGAGGATTTCTACACTTACCAATTCACATTTGCCATGTTTCCTTCCAAAACTCTTTCAGAAACACTGATACTTTTTCCTCTTTGCCCTGAGTATTTCTGCTTTATTACATAGTCCCACAAAACTGCAGACTTCTTCTCTAATGGTAGATGATTTCTGGAAACATACTCTGCATTTAGATTTTTAAACATAATAAACCTGAAAACGTTCAGATTAACTTTTTCCTACTTGTCAATAGTTCAAACTTTCTAAAGCTGAAGAAAAATTTTTGTTGTAATGTAAGGATTGTTTTATCTGTTATCAAAAATATACTCTCATAGAAATTTTGGTGAGAGGAAGCTGTCCCTTCTTTGCCCAAAGTGAAACTCATTTGAAGTTCATTGTGGAAAATGCCATATTTCATTCAGTTCTTGATAATATGGCTTCCACCAATGATGGGGTGAAACGCATGTGCTTACCCCACATCAGGGCTAATATCTGCTGGGCTTGGAAAAGAAACATGTAACTCACTCAGGGGATGGTGCTGACATTACCTTTCAAGCCCTGATGGTAGTTGGCAGCACAATCAGCAGCTCTCCAATGCCGTCAGTGTTCCATCACTGCCACCACTTCTTTGTAGAGCCCATATGGAAAACAAGGGTGGATCTTCTCAAGAGCTGTGGTTGCAGGTAGAAATCCTGCTGGGAGGCCTCAATCCAGCATCTTCTCTGGCCCCTGTCCAGGGAACCTGGCCCTGTGTTTTCCAGCCCCCAGGGCTGCAATGCCTGGAGGGAGGGTGTCAGCAGGAACATCAATAACAGCATCTGGCACTTGCTCACCTCTACCTGAGGTTGTTGATTCACTGCCCAGAGACTGTGTCTGTCATTAGGAAGCTGAACAAAAGAATGAAGCTCATTTCAGAGTCAGATACATCAATAACCTCTGAAGTCTTCCTCAGCACAAGGCTTTTGGACTGCACGAAGGACAAAGAATTTGCCTTGCTTTTTCCTTGCCTTGCCTTGCCAGCAGATGACCCCATGGCTCCCCTGGACATGGGGATGGTCAGGACCCATCACTGTCCCCTGGTGCCAGGCACTTCACAAGCAGATCAACAAGAGGGTGCCCATCGTAAAGTGCTGCAATACCACTGCTGTGGGTGCCCACCTCACACAGCCTTCAGCCCCAAAGGCACTACTGAGGAAGCAGGTTAATGAGTGCATGGAGCTAAACTTGCCCCTGGTGTTAAGCCTGCTGAGGTCAATGGAGGTACCAAACAGCCCGTAGGGTCCTATTCCAGAATTCAGGAGGTGTGTAGCAGATGGAAGCGCCTCTCCTGCAGAGAGAGCTCAGCACACAACATGCTGTTTCATAGCTGGTGTTTCTGGGCTCATCTCTCCAAGGAACTTTTCAAGAGGATGTCTCTGAACAATTCCAAGTGTGAATATTCCAGGATAAAAGTGTCTATGTTGGAGTTTGTTTGGAATAGCTGTCCAAAAAAGCCTTGTGAGGCTAGAAAACATCCTGGATGCTACAGCTGCCAGCAGCACCAGACACAGAGCTAAAGCATGGTACAACAGTGACTGCTGTAATGTGGGCTCACTGCTGTCCATGTGTCTCTCAGCTCCAGCCCCAGCTGGAGGACACCAGGTACAACAGAGTAGCCAGAGGAGCCTGAAAGTGAAAACCTTTTCATCAGGCAACCTGTTTCCTGAAGCTGAGGTCCTAATGCTGTAGATTGACTCAGAAATGAGCAATGCAAAGTCCCCAAGTCTAGGCTGAAAGATCTTTGTCCCATTGCAGGGAGAGGGAATTTGCTTGAGCTTAAGCCCTGGAGGGGGCATGCTGGGCTTCCCCAAGGTAAACAAATAAATTGGGGAAGTGCCCCTGAATGCCATAATTGACACAAGGGCTCTAAAAGGGACTGCTCCCAGTGGGAGGCCACACTGCTTGAAGTTTCCTTGCTCTTCCCTTCCCTGGAAATCACAGGTCATCACTTGCTGCTGCCTCCTCCCCACTAAAACTGTAACCAGCAAAGAGCCATAAAAACACTGAGGCACAGAAAGGCTGGGAATCTGATCTGATGAGAAAGGACACACTGACAAGATGACTATGAAACATCCTGGGAAACAGTCTGGAGGGAGTAGGCTGGGACGGTGCAAGAGAAGAGCTGGAGGAACATGGTGGAGGCTTCAGAGGCAGCAGGAGTGAAGAAAGGAACATCTAGCAGCTGTGTGGAGAGGAGTTTCCCAGGAAGAATTCATGACATCTGCCAAGGCCTTGCCACCACATTCCTGGAAGGGACTTGCTTATTCTCTAGCATCCTTGATACTTTACTCAGTGCTCAGAGCAAACATTTATTTGCTGACTGGAGCAACCAACATGGTCTCTTTCATTGAAATAAACTCTTAAATAAGAGCTGAAGAGCAAATGACATTATGGACAGCCCTATTTCTGCCCAGGGTCCCAGCTCTCACACTGCTGCCTCTGCTTGGCCAGGGCATAGGGTGTTCTACCTGCTCTGTGCCTCAGTTTCCCCACAACAGAACAGACACCCCATACTTTTTGAAGCTCATTTCCTCACAGCACCTTGAAAGTTTTGGCAGATCCTGCTGGCATGAAACCCCGTGATGTGCTGGGAAAAGTCCTGACACATGCATTAATGACAACAATATCTAACATCTGTTAGGTGGAAGAAAACAGTGAGGCCCCATGGAGAACTCTCTATCTGCTTTCTGTAAGGTGCACTTACCACAGGTCCCTGGCAAAAGTCAGTATCACCCTTTCACATCCCAGGCCAGCCTCCTCTGGTTCAAGCAATGGTCCCACATCTTTGCTGCCTGCATTCAGACCCAGGGATGCTGGATGGTTTCAGGGCATCGCTCTGAGGGTCTATTCCCAGCAGTGTCATGGGAATCACCCATCAGAGTGCTACTTTTAGCCCAGTAGTGCAAACTCACAGCAGTGTTGCCCTGCCAGCATCAATGGAGCCTTACAGAAGGTGAATCCTGCTTGTTCAGCCTCTCTCTACCACCTGATCCTGCATGCATGTATGCAAAGAGCATGGAGATTTTTTTTTTTCACTCCTGCTATTTTTCATTTCTTCCATTCCTTTTTTTCTGAACACATGGGTGTAGCTCTGCTTGCAGAAATCCCACAGAGTTATTCCTGCTTCATCCCAGGGCAGTTCAGCAGAGATGGTGATCCTCTGATTTCTTCCCTTACACCCTCTCCAAGAAGCTAGTTCTTGGCACTGCAGGGAGAGGGATTATTTGATCTTTATTAATTTATTGAAGGGAAGGAAGAGGGTGGAAATTGCAAGAAAAGGGACAGCCAGCAAGATGGCAAGGAAGAGAGGTTAAAAATGAAGTCATCATCTAATTGGCCTGCAGTGAATTATTCACATGTATAATCTTTTTTAAAGAAAAAAATTTCAGCACAAGGCAATGCAAGTAAATGCTGTTCATGTTTAAAAGTCATTTCCATAAGTAAGTGCAATTTCTCTACTGTTTGCCCCTGTTTAATGAAGTGAAATCTTGTTTGCATTCCTCCCAATTTCCCAACGAAAGGCGCCCAAGCGTTTGCACCAAAATTACTCGGCCCAAATTAAAACCCTCCAACACTTAAAAAAAAAGAGGAAAGGGGGGAAAAATCAGACTTATTTTTAAAATGCCTTAAGTGCATCCCAGCATCCTAATTTATTTTTAGACACTTGTTATTAAGAGTAGTAGTAAGTTTCCCCTTTTCTCTCGCTCTCTCTCTTATTTAAATGAACTTAATGGCAATAGATGCAAATGTCTGGAAGAGGAAAATAGTTAACATTTATTTATTCTTACTGTTGTCTCTTCCCTGGCTGGTGTCATTAGAACAGTTCGTTGCATCCCATTCGCTCCCATTAGCTCTGCTATCAGAGCCACCCAGCACGACTCCAGCACGGCTCGAAGTGCTTTCTGCGGCCCACATAGGGACTACATCATCATCTCTGAGGCACTGGCTTAATGACAAGAAAAAAAATCGGAATATATTGCACAGCGATCTGGGGAAACAACAACAAAACCTACTGCAACCATTGCCGCCACCCGATGCTGTCTCCCCTTGACCAGGGACACACACCCCAGCTTCAGTCGGGCAGGCGGACAGACAGACGGACCAGCTGTGGAGCTGGGGCAAACGTGCCTTCACAATTTATTGAGCTGGGCAATGTACAGAGAAATATGCCAGCGGGGACCCAGAGTGCTTGGAAATGTGCTTGGGAGGACCCAGCAAGACTGGAATAGGTTCAAACAGATGCTCAGTGCCAGCAAAGCCATCTCCCCCAACATGGGGCTGCCAGCCAGTCGGCTCCTGCCTCCCCAGCATGGGCAGGAGCTGCCAGCTGGGGCTGGTGGTGGGATGAGGAGTTTGCACCCCCTCACTGATGAACCTCACTTTCCTCCAGTGCCCCTGCAGGAACATTCCCTAAAGCAAACCAGACCAGCTCACTTGTGTGAGCAGCCATGTATCTCAGGGACACGTGGCCCAAGCTGCCAGCTCCAGCTGATGGCACAAGTCGCCCTGCAAGGCACATCACGCCAGTCCACCAGCCACTGCTGCAGAGATAAGGGGCTTAGCTCTAACCCCCCCTCAGGGAATGGTGGCCAAGAGCTAGATCTGGCAAGCAGCAGCCCAGAGAGGCAGGTGCCCTGATGCCCAGGAGAAGTGGCCAAAACCCACCATCCCCTGGAGCACTGGAGTCCTCTCCAACCCCCTAGAACTGGAGGTGGACCTGGCCCACACCACAGGGGCAATATCCCTTTGCAAGCAAGTGGGGCACAACAGCTTGCCCACCCAGAGTGACTGCAAGTTTTGGGGTCTTCTGAGCCCTCTGCCCCACAGGTAGCACATGGGCAAGAGTCGCAGCAAGCACGAGAGAGGAGACCAGGGCTCAGTAACAGCCCCGGCTGACAAAGCAGCATTTGGGAGGGAGGACATCAGCATCTGCAGCGCTGACACATAAAAGAGAGGTGGCAGCTATTGCAGGCGGGGATGGAGCCATGAGAAGAGCCCTCCCCCCTCCATAAAGTTGACATTGTCTCCAGTGATAACTTTTCTGCTGAGGTAGGAGACACTTTACTGCAGAGTTGCACACAGCAAGTAGCTGCCCTCCCCCCGCCCCTTCCCATCCTCTCCCTCTCTCTCTCTCTCCAGCATCATTTACATCCTTAATTAGCTGTAATTCTGCAGTGCTCATTAGGGAAGGACTGGAAAATATCAAGGAGCCCACAAGCAGGGGGCTTCAGGGGAGAGGCATGAAGAAAGGGATGCGAGTGTCAGGCTGAGAGGGGATGCCCAAGGCTGGATTGTGGAGCCAGGAGCAACTTGCTTAATTTGGGTGGGATGATTACACTAATTTGGGAGCACTGATCCAGTGATGGGGTTAAAGAGGCCACACTGTCCCACCTAGAAAGGCAGAGGACGTGTACAGAGTAAGAGCATCTCACTAACAGGACTTGTTCTTACTTCCTTGCTCACAGGTGATATCTCTCTGCTGGGTCATTCAGTGCCCCGCACTCTCAAAGTCAGCAGTCAGGCACAGAAGGAGGGCAATCTTCCCTGTTAATGCAGACAGCTACACAAACCAGTCTTCTCCTACAGCCTCATGAGGAATTATCCAGCAAAAAGGTTTCTCTGGAAAATTGAAGCTGACTGGGCTAAAGCACTTCTGCCAGGTGTGCCACTGTGCTGCAACCTTTTAGCTGAAGGAAGAAAGACCCAAAAGTGCTCCAGAAGAAAATCTGAATGAGATAGTTGATTTTTAGGTTAGATGCTCTCTTGATGTAAAACAGGGAGGGGATGTGCCTTTTTAATATTACTTCAATGACCTAAAAAAAACAAAAAAGCAAGAAATTAGGACTTGAAACTATAGGCAAACTTTACATTCCAGGTTGTTAAATGAAATATATCCTTCAACCCTAAATGAACAGACATTGTAAAGTTTTATTGTTGGTGCAGATATTTCATACAATTCCTTTGGGGACCACCAGAAGACCTGGTCAGTTCTAATATGGACTCATTCAGGAGTATACAAACACAGGGAAGGTTAAGTCTTCCCTTTTCACAGTCTCAAGGTACAAGACCATTAAGGAGGTACTATTGCCTCCTTGCCTTAGCTGGAGAGCAGAGAACAGGTAAATTAAGTAAATGGGGCAAGGCCATCATGGAAATTTGTGGCAGAGCCACACAGCGACCCCAGATTTCCTACTGTCTCTTTGAACCACTAGTTACAAGCCATCTTCCCTTATGCTGTAGCACATGGACCTTTGTATGCCCACTTGCACTTGCAATTCTGGGCACATACCTGGCTATTTTTTAATTCACTGCCTACCTGTACCTTTGCTCAAGGTTAGATGTGCATGTAAAAGTCTACCTGGGAATTCAGTGAAGTCAATGAGGATGGTCTTTGCAAGTCCATCCTCCTCCTTTTCACTTGCTGGCAGTAATGTGAGCCAACCGGTTGAGCTGTGACAATGTGCCTCCCCAAAGACTCAAAATGATCACCAGTACATATGGGATTATTTACAAATGTGTGAGCATGTGCACAAATGTGCGCTTGCTCTTTGAAGTATCTTCTTTTGTCATTAACTTGTTTCATTAACATCATCCAATAGTGTTTGGATGCAACTTGCCATAACAGAGAATCAAAATAAGCAAGTGTGCCAGAACAAGGCAAGAGAAAACGCCAGTGAAGTACGTTTTCATAGAGGTCTCTAGAACCTTTGCAAAACAGAATTGCAGTGATTTGTATCATTGGCTCTGAGGTTTAACACATTTGCGTTTACCAAGGACAACGTATTTACATCGTTCAAGGAAAGAGAATACTGGCCATCATTCTGTATTAAAATCTGGCTTTTCTTGTAGTGTCTGGTATGTAGATTACTAAGGTCTTTACAAAGGAGATAGATAAAATTTCCGGCTCCACTCTACATGAAATTCAGGTTGCAAAGAAGTAGCGGTTGGTCAGAGACTGCCTGGATCTAGTTGCAGTGCTTTAAGGAGCATTCTCTCTACACTTCCAAGGAACCATTTAGTCAAGGATTTAAACAACAAATGGACAATGACAAACCTTCAGAATGGATTTTATTCATTACCACCCTAATCTCTGGGACAAAAGAAGAAGATCAGGGGAAAAAAAATGCGAGATCCACATGCCTACTAGAGATGTTCCGCTCGTACAAAGAAAGATACCTCATTGCTGCCCAGCTGTAGAAGACAGGGATGCCAGCTAGCTTAGACCTCTGTGCAACCTTAGCTCTGCCCACATGATGTGGGTGACTGGCAGGATTCTGCAGAGGGTAAATACCTGCTGCCAGACATCCACAGAGGAGGGTGTGGATGTGGAAAGAGCTGCTTGTGTTTCTTGCATAGCTAACAAATGCAAAGGCAGCAGCTCATCCTTGCATGAAGCTGTCTGCACTTTCCTGCTCACAGCAGTCAGTGATTTCCTTCAAAATGGCTCAAAAGTGTCTTTTATAAATTGCTCATTAGTGGGTTCTTTCATACCTGGAGTATCAATAAACGGCGTCATTCCCACAGCCTACTTGCCATCATTATATTTCTTCTTCTGCACTTCATCCTGCTTGAAGCCTAGAGGAACAGCAGGGGCTTGCCTTTTGCCTTTCAGCCACAGTCAGAAGTCCTGGGCTCAGACCAAATCAATCTGGGTTGAAGTGAGGCTAAGGAGACACCTAAAAGAGCAGGTAAAGTATGAATTACAGATATTCAAATAAGAGCCACCTTTCCCACAGTTTGGTTTCAAGGCTGGCTCTACAAAGGATGAACCCAAGGCATAAAGTTGAGTTCTACACAACTGTCAGAATCAGCAGCAAATTTCCACCAGTGGTGGATGGCCGTATATGAGCAAGTGGAGATGACTCAGGAGGAGCATACTGATACGCACAGAAGCAAGCTCTTTTGCATATGTATGTGGATGGGCACATATGTATACGCACATTTGTATTTTCATGGGTGTGTTGGGGTGTGCCTGATGCTGCACATCAATGTGTGCAGATGCCAGCAGAGGAGGGGGTACCCCCCAGGCTGCACACTAGCTGAAGTGTGGGTGAGAGTTCGTGGACTGCTACTGAATAGCTTGAGGCATCAGCTGTAAGGGCTTATTTCCAGTACAGAGCATTTTCTCCCACTAAGAGTCAATGAAACCATTCTGTCAAACCTCCCTCAGGTACCACACAGGAAATGTAACACCAAGGAAACATTTGGGAAGATTTCTGGTCACTGAGACTGTGGTAACTTGGGGAGAAAGCCTAGGTTGTGAAAAGAGACTGCTCATGTAATTTGCAGAGGTATTTGGCTGACTGAACAGCCTTACACTTTGCAAGTATTCTTTTGGTTTCAGCAACATATTCTCTGTCTCCCTCACTCTTTTACAGGAGCTTGGAAGAGACATAGATCTGCTCTACAATAGCTTTCCTGGCATTGTTGCCTGTGGTGACTCCTACTGGGAGAAACTGAGAGGAGAAAAGCTCGGAACTGGCCCACCCTGCATCCTCACACAGCTTCACACCAGGCTGCCTGCAGGGCAGCAGCAGCCAGGATCCTGCCAGCCTCCACCAGCCCCACTGTCCCTTCTGCACCCCTTCCCCAGCGCCACAGCCAGCTCAGAGCTCCCTCTACCCTTCACCCAGGCACGGTCTCCTGATGGCACTCTGCTTGCTGTCTGTGACCCAGGTCTAGGCACAGCTTTAGAGCATCTCCTTCAGAAATTAGTCCTCTCTCAGCAGTCAAAGCCAAGCCTAGCAGTGCCTCCTGCTGAACCTCCTGGCATGGCCAGCACCTCACTCGTTGGGCACCTTGATCTTTCCCACGGGGACTCAGGCAGTCAGAGGGAGAGAAATTGATAGCAAGGAAAAGCAGCAGATGAAAAGTAAACTCACACTACATAAATCCTGAAATGGTTTTTATAAGGACACAACATTGTAACAACTTGCCAAGAACAACACAGAAATTATTTCAAGGTTTCCCATTTGTTTGTAAAGTGAATATTAAAGGTGCAGGCAGCAGTCTCCCAGTGTTCCCCTGGGAACTGTTGGTGTCCGTAGTAACGAGGTCATTCCTTTTTTATTAGGAGAAGGGTTTCTGTAAAGTTAAATGTGCTGACAGCCTCTTGCCTTTGATGTTGGGTTTCACCTCAGTCCCTCCTGCAGATACTGCTGCTCCTCCCTCGCAAAGACACATCCCTGACAAACAATCTCCCCTCTGTCTTCCCTACTTGTTTGTTTAGACGCATGATGGGCAGCTCTGTTAAAGGGCAGCACATGAAGGTGGGCTGGTGTTTCAGTGGATGGGAGAGATGTGAGAGATTTGGTTGCTGTAATTAAGTCAGTCTTCATTCCCCCAAACTCCCAGGGCTTAGTACCCTTCATTTTATTGACCAGACAGGTAATTACAGTGACAACAGTCACAAACCCCCCACTCACAGTTGCGCTAAAATTGCTGTGGTACCATGTTCAGATGAATATGGGACCTGTAGAGCCCTTGCCACAAAGCCCAGCCTGGATGGGGAGGTGGGGAAGAGCACCCCAGCTCTATCCCTGCTTCCCCACGGCTCTCCTTGCTCTGCAGCTACAGGGACAAGTCCTCCCTCCCCAGCAGAGTGGAAAGGCCCTTCCACAGGAGGACACACAGAAATCTCTGCTGCTGCCTTGTCTTAGTTATTGCAGCTCCTGCCCAAGCACCCTCCCTGTCCGGTGACCTGGTGATCCCTGTGCAGTTACCTCCAAGCACCCATGTACTGTGCCTACCTGACCATGGCCAACAAGGATTTTAAAATATAGATGAGCTGAGGTCACTCCATGGCACACAGCAACCGTCTGACCTGCATAAAAGAAGAGGGATCTGATGAGGATGCCACCTAATTAGGGCTTGGGAGACTCCATTCTGAGCTCTGCCAGAGTTTTCCAAAGATCTTGGGCAAATTAACTAAACAGCCTCCACAGTAAAAGCACAGGGTGGCCTCCAGAGCCTCACTCATCAACTGCTCAGAGCCACAACCTCTGTGTGCTCTGTATGTGCATACACCACATCCAACACAAGGGAACCCAGGTACCAGCAGGCACATCAGCACAACACACAACACAAAAAAAACTAACATTTGTTTTTTGTTTGAACATTAAACAGGCAACAATGCCCACAAAGTGCATTGTGTGTAGCCACTCCTTAAGAGTAGAAAAAGATAAATAATACTTTCATGCTTCAAAGTGAAGTGCACATTGTGTGCAC